GTTTGGGGTTCTTTTTATTTATTTTATTCTTATTTATTTATTTATTTATTTATCAGTTTGGGGTTCAATTTATTGCCTAAATGATGATGATGGTTGTTTTTCTTCCTCCCTCTCCTGGATCAGAATGAGCTCAACTTTATGCCTTTCTTGAATACCCTTTTTTTTCTGCTCCCATCTGGCTTTTTATTCCATTTTATTGATCGGATCTTCGCCTGGGCTTTTTATTAATACAGTATTATTATTATTATTTAAAAGGTGGTTTGCAAAGCCCAGAGTGGGGTGCCTGGAAAAAGCTCTGGGCCAACCTAAGGCAGACTTTGGAAAAAGTTATAGTGGCTTTTTTTCTTCTTCTTCTGCTTTTAAAGCTGGGCAGGATGAGAGGATCCTGGGAGTTGTAGTCCAAAAAAAGTCATTTCCTGCCCCTCCCTCTGATCATAACAGGGTTGATGGAGAAGGTCGGCCACTATGGCCCTCCAGATGCCTTTTGGGTTCAAATACGAGGGATCTGTAAATTACGAGACACATCAGGAGGGCCACTCCGGCTGCAGAATTTATATATATTGTTTTTTGGAGAGGTAGCCCTGCTCTAGTCTGTGCAAGCATGTCACTGCAAGCGTCCGGGTTCCTAGATTGTTGTTGTTGTTGTTGTGTTGTGTGCTGTCAAGTCACCCCTGACTTATGGCCGCCTTCACAATATCATGCTTTCAACAGCCCTGCTCACCTCTTGCAAACTCCAGCCTTGTGGCTTCCTTGAGGGAGTCGGTCCATCTCACGTATGGTCTTCCTCTTTTCCTGCTGCCGTCTACCTTTCCCAGCATGATGGTCTTTTCCAGGGAATCCTGCTTTATCATGAGATGCCCAAAGGACGACAGTCTCAGGTTCAACATTTTTGCCTCCAGAGAGAGAGTTCCGGCTGGATTTGATTTTGGACCCACTCTTTTGTCGGTCCGTCTCGTTTCTGGCCGTCCGGGCCATCCGCAAAGCTCTCCTCCAGCACCACATTTCAAATGAATCATTTTTTTCCCTGTCTAGCTTTCACACCCATACAGCATGATTGAAAACAAGATAGATTACAACTAAGTGTGAAATGCCACATTGATTTACACAGTTTGCTGTTTGTGACAGCTGTCTTATTAACAGCCTGGTGGCCCATTCCTTTACGAACTTCGCTACAGCAAGATTTTATACTACCCTGTTTAACCTGAAAATAAGCCAAAGGATAAATTTTCAGGATGCTCCTAATATAAGCCCTACCCCAAAAATAAGCCCCAGTTAAGTGAAACCCTGGTATAGCAACCAGAAGAAGATGACATGGCTGTATTTGAATAAATGTGGATTGTGGTACATGAAAAAAAATCCCCTGGAATTAAACCCTAAGTACTTTTTTTTTGAGGAAAAATTAATATAAGACGTACTCTTTTTTTTTTGAGGAAAAATTAATATAAGACCCTGTCATATTTTCAGGGAAACACAATATACTACTGTATATGGCCGCATAATAAAACTTTACTTACTTACTTACTTACTTACTTACTTACTTACTTACTTACTTACTTACTTACTTACTTACTTACTTACTTACTTACTTACTTACTTACTTACTTACTTACTTACTTACTTACTTACTTACTTACTTACTTACTTACTTACTTACTAACGATTGTCACTTTTTTCCTCAGTTATCAATTTCCCCATCTAGCCCTCGGCCCATGTACCTGTATATAAAAACATGACTGCCCAACAGTCGTATGTTTGAGGAAGTAGACTTGATTCATGAATGCTCAGAAAACCTCACATTGTTTTTGTCTTTTGTTTTCTTTCTTGTGTAGAATTTACAGGTGTAATTTATCCATTCCTTTTTTCATCCATTTTATCTGCACCTCCTCTTAAAGGGACCTAAGGGGGCTTACAACATTTCTAAAAACGACAAAAGTCTGTTAAAATACAATAAATGTCCATATTTAGTGCTTCCTTCTCACAGTGATATTTTTAATTTTTTTGTATACTTATTGACCTTAATATTCCCTTTTAATTGATGTAAGAGCCCTCCTTGTTCATGGCTCATAATCAGTGATATATTGCTTGTGGTATATAACGGTCTATAACGTTGCTTGTGGTATACAGTGGGGTCTTGACTTGAGAACTTAATCCGTATTGGAAGGTGGTTCTCAAGTCAAAAAGTTCTCAGGTCAAATCTGCATTTCCCATAGGAATGCATTGAAAACCATTTGATCCGTATCTGCTCTTTTCCGTCCATAGAAACTAATGGGAAGCTGCTATTCTGCCTTCGACCACTAGAGGGGGATATTTTGTTTCTTTTTTTCTTAGGTCAAGAAAGGTTCAGGGAAGGCAGGGAAAATACAGTCCAGGCAGTCCAGTACCAGGCAGTCTGAAGACTGTCTCCCAATCCACTCTCTAAACGCTGGGAGGAGTGAGGAAGCAGACAGGCACCCTTTTCACTGGCGAACAGTTAACTGAACGTTCACATTTTGCACTTTCCCTGCCTCCCACGTGGTCTTTTTCAGTTCTTAACTCAAATCTAAGTATGTAAGTCAAGTCAGTATTTTCCTATGAGAGTGGTTCTTAAGTCAAAATGTTCTTAACTCGGGCCGTTCTTAAGTCAAGACCCCACTGTATAACGGTCTATAACGGTGGTTAATGGTATTAACCACCGTTATAGACTCATTGTTTTCAACTCCTTAACTATTGTCCTTTGTTGTTGTAAGTTGCCTTGGGTCCTTTTCGAGGAGAAAAGCGGGGTAAAAATATTTTACATAAATTTTAAAAAGCAATGAGACGGATTGGAAAGAATCTTTTTGTTTTTGCTCCTGCTCAGCCTAGAATATTCTAGCACAGCCCTCCCTAACCTTCCAGTCTTCGTGATTTGAACTCAGATCCGGCCCAGCTTCACCCTCTTCTACTAAAGGTCGGACGTCATCATGGTGGTACTGTAGTTTCTATGGACAGAAAAGAGCAGATACAGATTAAATGGTTTTCAATGCATTCCTATGGGAAATGCAGATTCAACATAAGAACTTTTCAACTTGAGAACCACCTTCCAATATGGATTAAGTTCTTAAGTAGAGACCCCACTGTACCAACTCTGGATAGGAAAGCTCTACACTAGAAATGGGGGTATTTCTATTCGTCTACAAATTCCCCCATCTCCACACGTATGGTTCCCGACTTTGGGTGTCCAGATGTTCTTGGACTACAACGCCCAGAAGCCCTAGCCAGCACAGCTGGCGGTGAAGGCTTCTGGGAGTTTCAGTCCATTCTAGAAAGACTTACATTTTGATTTAGTGCTGTTTATCTTTCCTTCAAGACCATTTTGTTTCAAGAGGCATCCTTTAAGACATTGGCTCCCAACCTCAGTTTTCCAGATGTTCCTGAACTCACTCTCCCAGAAGCCTTTGCTACTAGCTGTGAGATTTCTGGGAGTTGTAGTCCAGGAACATCCAGATTGGGAACCACTGCCTACGCTATTATTGTGCTACTGGCCTCCAAAGATTTTTCAACCAAGAACCTTTTTGCCATCATTTTCTCCTTGACTCTTATTTGATTTTCCTGTCAAGGATTGCTATAACAAGCTGTTCTCCCTCCCACCTCTGCTTGAAATATTATAGTTTTATCCATTTTGCTTGTTTCAGAAGCTCTTGGATTTACTGGGTTAGGAGAAACAAGAAATTCTGAGAAATCCACTTTTCAGTTGTCTTACCCCCCATGATAAATTTTGTGACACCATGGCACGAAGCAGAAGCGAGACGAATATGGTACTATGTGCCTTCATAAACCCGTTTTTAAGATTTTCTTGCATCTCCAATGGAAATCCCAAGATGTGTCATCCAGATTTTTTAAAAATCTGGAAAGGCTACTCGAGGAAACCTTGTTCTAGCCAAAAATAATTTTTTTTAAAAAAAGAACTGAAAATTAGCATGGTGTGAAATATATTTAATACTTTTTTACAGACCACTGAGGTGGTTCGGGGTTCTGCTTTTCCTTTACAAGGTGGAATTAAAAAAAAATTGGCATCTCTGTAGATCTTTCTTTGCCAGGAAGGAACAATTATACATTCAGGTGACAAGAAAGATTTACATGGTTCTTGAAATAAAAGGTAGTGTGTGGTCAGTACAAAATAAAATACAAATGCAAAAAAATTAGGCAATATCTTTCTGGGCCATGAAAAAAATCACAAAATAAAATACAAATGCAAAAAAAAATAGGTAATATCTTTCGGGGCCACGAAAAAAAAAATCTACAATATATGAGCTTTCCACAATGATTTTTTTAGTGATCTGTAAAGGTGTCGCCTATTTTTGCATTTGTATTTTAAGGTTGGTGTTAAATTTTGTAATACTCCTACATGTGGAGGGAAAAAAGGACAGAAATCTATGACACACAGAAGCCATCTGAAACCCAACTTCTTCTTCTTTATTTTTCCTTCTTCTGATTTGAGGCTGTCTTCACCAAATGGTCGCAACCAGCCTGGTTCGGAAAAAAGAACCTTTTTCTCAGCTAGGAAAAAGCCAGGGCTTTGCAGAATATGGTATTCTTACAACCTGATTTTCACCACTTACAGGACTCAAAAGAAAACTGTTTGAAGTTCTGGTTTGCAATCTGGGCACACGGGAACGCCCACCTGGCAAATTCAAGCCAGCCCTGGGGGGTTTCCTAGCCTGAATCCCTTGATTTGGGCGTTCGGAGAAAAACACGGTGTGGAAGTCACCGCATCCTTTTTTTGTGTGATGGATACCTTCATTATCGAATTCTGTTACAAAAACGTCACCGTGAAAGAGGATGGGAACAACTTCACGGCAAACTGCCGGATATGCCCGAATAAGACCATCTCGGGAAGCATCCGAAGCTCCAGCAACTTTCTGAAACATGTCAAAGTAAGTCACCCTGGGAATACTCGCTAAGGTACTATTTATTTCTCCATTTATTTATTGTTGCGAGGAGCTCAAGATTTCTGTTTGCTGGTTTCTCTGTGGGTGCCTTGTTCCACTTTTTATTTGCTCCCAGTGAGCCTGTAAAGTGAAGCTAAGCCACGAGGAAGTATTATCCCATAATTCCTTCCTTCAAGAAAGGAAAGAGATTTGAACCCAGGTTTCTACAGCCATTCCAGCCTAATCTCTTCACCAGTTGTTTGTTTGCATTGATTCACATTTTTGATACTTAAAGGGCCCTTTTTAAATTTTTATTTAATTTTTTTTGCTTGCAAAAATGTAGTGCAAATGGTGTGGTGTTTTTTAAAGTCTTTAGAAAGCTTTGTTTGCAGAAGAGAAATGACGTGGGCGTTCAGACTTCACAGACTATTGTGTTGTTAAAAAATATTTATGAGTTCGTGACTGAAATCCTGTTGGCAGGCAGGTTGGCATTATTATCGGTGGCACATTGTTGCCAGTTAAAGATTCCTTTTTCCCCATTTTAGTATGTGTGGGTGTGATTTTATCTCATTACATTTGAGTGGTGAGCATTCCAGAATTGAAAAGGGGAGTCTTTAATCAGGAGCAGTTTGCCACTCACAGTGACATAACGGTTGGACTCAATGGCCTTATAGGCCCGTTCCAACTCAGTTGTTCTATCATTCCCTACGAGGAAGAATTTGATCATCTTCTAGGACAGTGGTTCCTAACCTGCTCTTCTTGAACTGCAACTCCCAGAAATCCTGGCTGACACAGCTGGTGGTGAGGGTTTTCTGGAAATTCCAGTTCTGGCCATTAACTGTGGTATCGCCTGGATTTCCTTGAATGATGCTTCCTCCTTTTTCCCTCCTTCATCTAAATTTAATTTCTGTTTTAGGTACGGCACCCCCTCCGATTCAAGGAGTATGAAAAACTGAAGGACGTGACGTGGAAGAAGAAAAAAAGGGTATAACAGAAAGTGGAATGCTAGAGAGATAAATTAATTTTTAGGGCAACATCCCACACGGAATAGCCCATTGGGTGTGTGGTTATTCTTCCTCTGGCGTTTGCCAACAAGGTATGGGTTGTAACTAAATGGCCTAACTGGCTGGATAGGCATAGTTGGTTAGGCCTCTGGCTGATGAGTCGGCGGTTGTGAGTTCGAATCCCCCCACTGGGCCTCCTATGAGTAGAGCCAGCCTGGGTGGCCTTGGGCAAGCTGCACAGTACCAGAGCGCCCCTAGAGGAAGAGAATGGTAACGCACGTCTGTGTATTCAGCCTGGAAAATCCTAAATAGGGCCACCATAAATCAGAATTGACTTGATGGGACATGATGATTACTATAAATGATGGATTAGGAATTATAATGATAGCAGTTTAGACTCATGCTGTGTTGTAGCATTAAAGTGGATAGAGAAAGCCACATTTTATTTGTTTGTTTGTTTCATTGATTTCTATACAGCCTGCGGCCACTCTGGGCAGTTCACAACACAAAAAGAAATCCTATAGCACAACTCAATTATAAAATAAAATGTGACAATTTCAGACAGTACCAAAAAATTCTAAAATTTTCTACCCGTCAGGCAACAGTTAGGAGCAGCAAGTGGTTTTAAAATGTCACTGATGAGTACGTTTTAGTTCCTTTTGAGAAACAAGGAAGTAAAGCATTACTTTTTAAGACTTGAATGGTCATGTAGCTAAATTGCTTTTAAGGGGCTCTAATTTTTAAATGTGGTCTTGTTGTTTTACTTACGGTTGGGGATGCAGTCTTCTTGTTTTTTAAATGTCATTTTAAATGCAGTTTCCTGAGGCTGAGAAGTGAGGGTTGCACTTCTCAGCCTTAGGAAATTATTATAATAATTGATAAATTATAATAATAATTGATAAGTTGCACTTATCAATTATTATTATAATAGCCGTTATCCTGTTATAATAATACCTGGATGTCATCAAGTCGATTTTGACTTATGATGTAAAATTTCGGAAATTTCCAATTTGTTCCAAAAACAAACAAAAAACCCAGGGGGAAAAATAGGGTTTTTTCCCCCAGAAAAAAAACCTGAAATTTACTGAAGACTCTTCAGTTAGAGGTGGAAAATTTCCAGAAATTTCCAATTTTTTTCAGGAAAAAAAGTTTTTTCTCCTGGCTTTTTTTCCTCTGCGGGGGAAAAACTGGAAATTTTCAGAAATTTTACATCTCTAGAGGCAAACCTTTTCAGGGCTTCACAAACTATATTCCAAAAGCGGCTTTCCTTCTTCTGGGGCTGTTCTAGGATTACACACCTTGCCCAAGTCCATTTTCTGGGATGCACCAGTGGGAATCAAACTCTCCAAATCTCTGGCTCCTCGGCCAGTTATCCAACTCACTGAGCTATCCATCCAGCTTTTTCCTACTTGCAGCTCCCCTCATGATACGACCGTAATAGCAGGGCTGACTTGGGGTCTTTAATTCCATGCTCACCTCTGGCCTCATCCAGTCCTTAATCTGGATGAGTGAAAACCATGGGGAAGTAGCACCTCTTCTAAGGGGTTGGGAAGCAGGAATGGCTGAAAAAGAGGAATAGAGGTGGGGAAAGAGACATAGACACCTTTAGCGCGTTCAACCGGGGCAGCATGGTAGTCTGTGTGCAGGAAAAAGAATGACAATATATGGATGGCTAATTATCTGCTTATGGCATAAAAACTTGTCAGCTAGAGCAGATTCCCCATAATGTCTGGTGAGATACCCATATCATCTTTGAGTGTTGATCATACAATGGGATTAATGAGAGTTGTAGTCTGAAACGTCTGGAGAGGAACAGGTTACTGGGAGAGGCCTCGGACCGCCGTCTGTATGATCCGATGGATGTCGTTATGTTTTGCATTTACACACCCCACCGTTCTTCTGTTGAGCTCGAGAAAATAAACGTGGTTTTCCCCACCTCAGCTTTTACCTTCAGAACAGCCCTTTGAGGTTGGCCAAGAAAGGCAAGGGTGGGTGCAATGGACCCAAGGTGACCTTTCTAGCTAGGAGGGAGAAATTTGGGGGAGAGCTGAGCCCGGTCTACCTCAGAGGGCCGTTGGGAGCAGACAGTAGGGAGATCCTGTAACCACCTGCAGCAGAATGGCTCTGAGCAGTAATCTTAATTTGCAAGTGCGGATGTCGTTGGGAATATGCTTAGTGGAGGGACCGAGCAGGCTTTTGACCAGACAGAGGATAATGAGAAAGGAAAGGCAGCCATCTTAAGAGATAAGGTCCTGAGACAGGAGAAAGAAGATTAATACAGTGGTGCTTCGCAAGACGATGTTAATTCGTTCCGCGAAAAACATCGTCTTGTGAAAACATCGTCTTGCGAAACGTGGTTCCCCACTGGAATGCACTGAAATCTAATTAATGCGTTCCAGTGGGGGGGAAATCATCTCGCGAAAATCATCCGTAAAAAACATCGTCTTGCGAAACGCGGTTCCCCGCTGGAATGCATTGAAATCTATTTAATGCGTTCCAATGGCGAAAAATCATCATATTGCGAAAATCATCCATAGAAAACATCGTCTTGCAAAGCACCACAGCGCTCGCAAAAACCAATCGTCTTACGGATTAATCATCCCGCGACGCAATCGTCTTGTGAGGCACCACTGTATTCTGCACATTTCTGCTCCCAGAATACAGGCGGAGGTCCATAGCTGGGTGAGAACAGGCCCCAGAAGCCTGATCACGAGTGGACTCCAGCAAAGGATTTCCTGCAAGGGGATGATGAGCGTTGTAGTCCAGCCCCCTCAGAAAGGGGGCTAGACGAAGTGAGGCGGTATTTGCGCGGTATTTGCGCAGGGTTAAAAGACTGGTACAACAGAATCATACAATGGTCTTCTCCAAAGGAGCCCCGTGACATCCTCTTCCAAAATGGTAGCCTTCAGCTTATCTGGAGATGTTGCCTCATTGTTCATGTGCTGTCTTTCTTCCCACGGGGACCCAAAACAACTCACAAGAGCTAAGAAATAGCCATGAAATCCTGTGAGTGTTAAGAGAGATGTCCTTCCGGCAGATCTTTTGCACGTAGGGAAAACCTCCTGCTGTGAGAATCAGATGTTGTGAGCATTTAAAGTATTCCTTCTAATGAGGAGGAAACTCTCACCCTGCCCGCCCCCCAGTCAGAAACAGAAAGGATCTTGACCCAGTGAGCCCTGGATCCTTAGCAACTCTGGCTCGCCCTCATGCTCTCAAAGGGGGTCTTCCTTGTGTTTTTAGATCCTGACAGACTTTGACGAGGCGACCAGGAGTTCCGTGGAAGCCGAACCCTCTCCATCTGGTGGCAGGGAGAGGCGGCTGCTCAGGGAAATCAAGAAGGAAGATGATGTGCAAGCCATATTTCTGGGTAAGATGCTGCAGTCCTTTGATTGTCCGAAGTTCGGACAGATACCCGGTGCGGCTTGCCTAACTTCTTGCTGGGAAGGCAGTGGGCAGAGTGCATCATTCAGTTATGACACCACCCAGAGAACACTTGAAGTGCTATGGGGGCTCTATCCACAGGGGATCGGGTTCAAGCCCTGCCGCAGATGCTGAAAAAACACAGAATGTTATACATAGTATAGTGGCCAGTTCTGCTAATTTCATTGTTTGGGAGAGAGAAAGAGAGAGGTTTTTATTTTAATATTTTAAATATTTTCAGACTGTGGATAAGTGAATCAGCAGGTAAGGGAGGGACTACTGTAAGCAGCACATTTTGCTTTAAAATCTGGTGAACGGACTCTGTCCCGTCTCTTCCCGCAGGCAGTGATTTTGGTGCTGAGACAGGAACCAGCTCCTTAGGGTCTGAGATCCCGCCGGTCATCCAGAACAACCAAGGATCGCCCATGGTTGTCGAAGTCCAGCCGCCCGAAGAATCGGCCTACGAGGACCGGCGGCGGCGGCCGATCATCCTTCCCACCCCCACCTGCCAGGAAGTGCCGTGGTCAGGCTTTGAGAAGGCGTTCACCTTTGTGCGCCAAAAGGGGAAGAACGTCGTGGTGCAGTGCAATTACTGCCTCCCGGCGATCAAACACGTCAGCTCGGCCATTACGTCGGCCTCCAACGTGAAGAAACATTTGGAGGTGCGTGTGGGCCATGGTGGCCCTTACAGCAGGGGTTCCCAGAAAAACTCCCAGAATCCTTCACCACTCGCTGTGCTGGCCAGGATTTCTGGGATTTGTAGTCCAAGAACCTCTGGGGACCAAGGGTTGGGGAACCCCTACCTTAGAAGGTTCCGGAGAACGTACTGCAGAATGTTTTGTGTGAGAAGGATGATAAAAATGGTCTTGGCAAGTGGCTCTTGGTCTGTGAGACTTTACCTACGAGTCTCATTTACGATTTTCTTCGAGGCTATTAGATATTCTTTTATTAAATTGTGTGGCAAGTGGCTCTTGGTCTGTGAGACTTTGCCTACAAGTCTCATTTACGGTTTCCCTCGAGGCTATTAGACATTTTTTTTATTAAATGGTGAGGTAGAGTGGTACCTCGACTTACAAACGTCCCTACTTGCGAACGATTTGAGTTACAAATGGCTCCGTTTGCAAAAACTTGCTTCGACTTGCGAACGGAGCCTCGATTTACAAAGAAAAAAGAAAAAAACCTTTCCTGCCCCTTTTTTGACCTAAATTTAAAAAATTCACCCCCTAGTGGTAAAGTACAGATTAACCGGCTTTGCATTAGTTCCTATGGGAGCAAATGCCTCTACTTACTACGGATTTACCGGCTTTGCATTAGTTCCTTTGGGAATAAATGCCTCTACCTATGAACAGCTCCTCGACACATGAATGAAAAACAGCAGATACGGATTAAATGATTTTCAATGCATTCCTATGGAAAAGTTTGCCTCAACGTACGAACTTTTCGACGTACGAACACTGTTCCAATATGGATTAAATTCGTAAATCGAGGTACCAATGTATGGGTTTTTTCACATTTCTTATCTGCTGTCCATGCTTGATTAACCGGCTTTGCATTAGTTCCTATGGGAGCAAATGCCTCTACTTACGAACAGCTCCTCGACACATGAATGAAAAACAGCAGATACGGATTAAATGATTTTCAATGCATTCCTATGGAAAAGTTTGCCTCAACGTACGAACTTTTCGACGTACGAACACTGTTCCAATATGGATTAAGTTCGTAAGTCGAGGTACCACTGTATGGTTTTTTTTCCACATTTCTTATCTGCTGTCCATGCTCTTCCTCCTCCTCCTTTTCCTCCTCAGAGGGCACATCCTGAAAAGCTGAGGGAAATCGAACGGGCCAGGAAAGCCCGCCGACGTGGCCGTTACGAGCCTCCGGCTCAAGACGAGGACCCTTCGCCAGCCAAAATGCCGAAGCCGCAGGAGCCGACGACCCACGAGAGGTGGGGATCCAGCCGGGAGCCTGTCACTCAGAGGATCCTGGACCGGAAGATCATGGATTTCATCGTGGAGGAGACGCTGCCTCTCCAGACCGTGGAAAAGGCCTCCTTCGTGGGGCTGGTTCGCCTGGGCTTACCCAAAGACCTCACCGTCATGTGTGCCAAGACCCTGAGGGAGAGGATTGAGAAGCGGGCCGCCAGCATGCAGGAGACCCTCTCGCACAGGATGGGGGCAGTGGAGCACGTGGCCACCACCGCCGACTGTTGGCTCGACGGGAAGAAATGCTTCCTCGGGGTGACGGCCCACTGGATCTGCCCCACGACCCTGAAGCGCGAGTTCGGGGCACTGGCCTGCAGGCGCCTGAGGGGTTACCCCACCTCCGACCTCCTCGCCAAAGCCTTGGACCATGTCCACGTGCAGTACCGGATCCACAACAAAGTGGTCTCCACCACCACGGACAGCGGCGCCAATTTCGCCAAGGCCTTCCACGTCTTCCGAGCCAAAGAGCCGTCCGAGCTCGCCGACCTTGGGCTGGAGGAAGACGAGGACGGCGGGGACGACCAGGAGGCGGCCGAGGTGGAGTTCGTGCCCATTTCCGAGCTCCTGGACGGGCAGCCAAAAGCCGAAGAAGAAGCATCGGAGTCGGAACACGCCGGCCTGCCGCCTCACCAGCGGTGCGCCAGCCACACACTCAACCTGGTGGCGACCGAAGACATTCAGATGATGATCTCTGACTCCTCTGTCAACAGCCCTCTGGGGCCCTTCAGGAAACTCTTCTGTTCTTTGATGGAGAAGTGCAGCAAGCTGTGGTCCAAGCAGAACCAGTCGCCTCAGATCGCGGAGTACATCCACGAGCAGTGCGGCGTCTACCTCAAGATTCCCAACAAAGCCCGGTGGAATTCCACCTTCGAGGCCCTGAAGCAGCTGAGCGAACTCCTCTCGACCGTGCCGCTGAAAGTGGACGCCATCATGGACCAGTGCTCCTTGGTCCGGATCACGGCGGCCGAGAGCCTGGTGGTTCAGGAGTACACGGAGATGATGGGGCCCCTGGCCCAGTCTCTCGACATCTTGCAGAGGGAGAACGGCATGTTCATGGGCTACCTGCTGCCCACCTTGTACAACCTGGATCGGAAGCTCCACGGGCTGGAGAACAAGCCCGTCCGGTACACCTACGGCCTGCCGCTGCTGAGGGGCGTGCGCGAAGCCCTGAGGAAGCGATTCGCCCCAATTTGGGAGGATAAGAAGCTGCTCCTGGCAGCCTGCCTGCACCCTCGTTTCAAAGTGGATTGGCTGGAATCCGCCCAAACGACACAGACCAACAGGTAAAATAATACAGGGGGACACCTTGTATTATCCACTTGACACAGACCAACAGGTAAAATAATACAGGAGGACACCCTGTATTATCCACTGATTCACTTATCCACTGGCTGAAAATACTAAATAAAAATATCCCCAAATACCTATTTACAGTGGTGCCTCGCTTGACGATGTTAATTCGTTCCAGCGAAATCGCTGTAGAGCGAAAACGTCGTCAAATGAAATAAAAAAACATTGAAACGCATTGAAAACTGTTCAATGCGTTCCAGTGGGCTGAATACCTGCTCGTCCAGCGACTATCCTCCATACGGTGGCCATTTTCGGTGCCTGTAAAGCGAGGAATCCATCCTAGAAAACAGCAAGGGGCCATTTTCTTCAGCCAGCGGCCATTTTGAAACCCAATGATCAGCTGTTTGCTGATCATCATGAAGTGAAAATCGGTTCTCGAAGCAGGGAACCGATCATCAGGAAGCGAAAAAAGCCCATTAAAACATTGTTTTGCGGTCGCAAAAACAGTCGTGAAGCGGATTCATCGTCAAGCAGGATAATCGTTAAGCGGGGCACCACTGTATATGTATTTCTAAGGTGTATTTACCAGGCCTAGTCACTAGAGAGGGCCAGAGACCATGGAGTGTATAGCGTTTGATATTTCCACATTTTTTTCAGCATCCACAGAGGGACTTTGAACCAGTTTTCCGCCGGTGATAAGAGAATACCTTCATGTGGATCAGAACAAGGTGGGCATGAGGTGCCCACCCACCCACCTTGGGTTTTTTCACACAGGCCCGTCTAAGTGCCCACAGGATCCTCCAACAGGAGTCCCATGAAGCTGATAGGCGTGTCCTATTTTCCTGTCAGGAAAATAGGAAGCAGGAAAGCAAGGAATACAGTAAAGGGGTGGCAAATCCATACACGGCCCCTTTTTTTGTGATACCAAATACTGAGGGAAAAGGAGCACTGCCCTGTTTAGAAGGCTTCAGGAATGGCCCTTCTTCTTTAAAACAAGGTGCAGCCTCTCCCCGAACACCCACCTACCCTCTTTGGTCATTCTGTTGGACACCACCTTGACTCCCTTCATAGGGGGAAAGATGGGCTACGGTATAAGAACACCCACCTACCCTCTTTGGTCATTCTGTTGGACACCACCTTGACTCCCTTCGTAGGGGGAAAGATGGGCTACGGTATAAATAAAGCCAATCAATAAATCATATTCCTGGTTTTGTGTTTCAGGGGAAGTGCAGCTTGGGTCCCAGTCTATCTATCTATCTATCTATCTATCTATCTATCTATCTATCTATCAATCAATCAGTCAATCAATCAATCAGTCAATCAATCAATCAATCAATAAAATTCCTGGTTTTGTGTTTCAGGGAAAGTGCAGCTGACAGTGGGTCCCAGAAGTGGAAGATTCCATATTTAGGCTCCAGGGTTTAGGACAGCTTTTCCCCAACAGCCAGACACTCCAAACCCCATCATCTCAGCCGTCACAAGTCCGGTCAATTCGAGAAGTGTCCGTTGAGCAGCTTCAAAATGGCCCCCCAAAAAAGAGCCCTAGGGGACAGCGGTGACCCCCACCTCAGAGGTGACATCCTCTGTAAATTCTTGTTTTTTTTAAAAAAATGATTTAAATGCAACAAGTAAAATTCTTGACAGGAACAGGATCGACCACTTAATTTTCCCCTTACCATTTATTGTTTATTTGTTCGTTCCATTTGTATACCATCCCTCTCACAGGGAGTTCGATTCCCCTTCTGGGCCTCCCTGATGGGCTGGATCTGATGATCCATAAAGTCCCTTCCAGCTCAGCAGTTCTAAGAGGATGATGGTCCACCGGGTCTCTTCTAGTTCTGCAGTTCAAAATGATGATGATAAAAACTTAATTTATGCGATGACTTGAATCAAATCCATTTATATCACGATTTAATTTTGAAAAATGCAATTTTTTGATGATTCAAATTTGAGGGGAAAAATCATTTTTAATTTAAATCATGATTCTTTTTTAAAAAAAAAAATGTTGATTTTTAGCCACCATTTTTAGCCTTTTGTACCATCAGCACCAGGATCCTGACCTTGGTTTCAGAGTATCATAGAATAATTGAGCTGGAAGGGGTCCCTTAAGGCCATCCAGTCCAACCCCCTTGCTCAAGGCAAGAATCCAAATCAAAGCAGATCTGACAAATGGGGGTCAAATTTTCTCTTGAACGCCCCCCCCCCGGCCAGCATTGGAGCGCTCACCATTAATTCCATTGTCGTACTGCTCTAAGAGTTAGGACGTTTTTCCTGATATTCAGCCTAAATCTGGCCTCCTGTAGCTTGAGCCCATCATTACGTGTCCTGCACTCTGAGATGATTGAGAACAGATCCTGCAAGACGGTCTTTTCAAGTATTTGAACAGTTCTGTCCTAGATCCATTGTGGGACATGGTGGCGCTGCGGGTTAAACTGCAGAAGCCTTTGTGTGCTGCAAGATCAGAAGACCAGCAGTCGTAAGATCGAATCCAGGCGACAGAGTGAGCTCCCGTCGCTTGTCCCAGCTCCTGCCAACCTAGGCATTCGAAAGCATGTGAAAAATGCAAGTAGATAAATAGGTACCACCTCGGTGGGAAAGTAACAGCGTTCCGTGTCTAGTCGCGCTGACCACGTGACCACGGAAACTGTCTTCAGACAAACGCTGGCTCTACGGCTTGGAAACGGGGATGAGCACCATGCCCTAGAATAGTACACGACTGAACTAAATGTCAAGGGGAACTTTGACCTTTACCTATCCCAGATCCACAAATTCTTCTTTTCTGGACTTACCGCGTCCCCCTCTCTCCTAGGTACATGATGGAAGCCCTTCTGAAAGCCGAGATCCGGGGCACGGTCGCCGAGGACAGCGACGGGTCTTCAGAGAAAGACCAAGAAGGGGACGATCTGGAAGACGACTTCTTCAACATCCAGCCTCGTGGCAGGAAGTCTGCCGTGGATACGGCCGACGAGGAAGTCTTACGGTACCTGAAGTCCCCCAGCCGGGAGGTGTCCTCCCTCCACGCCTTTCCTCGCGTCCTGCGCTGCTTCCTGCAATACAACACCGGGGTGCCCTCCAGCGCCTCCGTCGAGCGCCTGTTCAGCACCGGCGAGAGCCTCACGTTTTTCTGCTGCGCTTGTGTGGGGTGGGGGGGGGGGGGTGTTTTTGTCTCACAGGCCAGGAGTCGCTACTTCTATATTTAAAACCGTTTTGCCCCACCTTCAAAGAGGCAACTGACATTGTTACGGTAAAAGACAATGTTTAAACCTAAAAAGAGTAAGTATGCAAATGCTGGAAAGGATCAAGCAAATATCCACGCCACAAAGCAGGAAATAAAAGCAATGCTAAAACACATGCAAAGCAGCCAGGCACTACACTCCTTTTAAAAACCCCAGTCAGGTAGCCAGTCTTTAAGGGAAAGCTTGCCTGAAGAGAAAAGTCTTTGTCTGCTTGCAGAAGAAGAGCAAAGACGGGGCCAGTCTGGTTTCCAGTGGGAGGGAGTTCGAAAGTCTGGGAGCAGCCACAGAGAAGGGCTATGTCCCTATCAAACACACCTGTGAATATGGTGGGACTAGAGATAGGAAGGCCTGGAGAAAACCCAGAAAAACTGGGGTGGGGAAAACAGATTTTTCCATTTTTTTTCCAAAGCTGTTTTCAATGGCTTCAAAATTTCTGTAACTTTTATGTCTCTGAGTGGGACCGAGAAAAAGGTCTTTCCTTAAGAGCTTAACGGCCAGTCAGGCTCATAAAGGGAAACGTGGACCATGAGATCGCTTGGGCCCATTTAGGGCTTTATAGGTTAAAACTAGCACTTTGAATTACACCTGGAAATATTTCTTTTCTCTTTATCTTATTATATGTTTTTTTAAAAGGTGATGATTCTCATTACCATTTACATTGTGGAAATGTATTCAGGTAGCTTATTTGGTGATTAAAAATATTTTTGCCCCGCCTTTCTCCTCGAAAAAGAAAACAAAAACCTTGGAAGTCACTTACACAGAAGAGACGAGACAACGAATATGTATAGAGAGAGAGAAAGAGCCGTGAGGATCTACAGTGGTGCCTCGCTTAGCGATCGCTCCATTGAGCGATGAATTCGCATAGCGAGGGGGTCTGGACCATCGCTGGAGCATTCGCTCAGCAATGGCTCCTATGGGATTTTTTCGCTGTGCGATGATCGTTAAGCGGTTCGCTTAACGATTTTCGCATAGCAAAGCCGCGCGGAACAGCTGATCTGTGGTTCCAAAATGGCCACCGGAACTTTTCACGCTGTGCCCTCGCTTACCGAGGGCGCGAAAATGGCCGCCCCTATGGAGGAGCTTCGCTCAACTGTGAGTTTTGGGGCCCATTGGAACGCATTAAACCAAGTTTAATGCGTTTCAATGGGTTTTTCGTTCTGTTGAGCGATGTTTCCCATAGCGAGGGTTAATCCGGAACGGATTAACCTCGCTATGCGAGGCACCACTGTATCTTGGTGAGTTAGAATTCCAGCTTTGGGGAAAAGCTAGTAAAAGACATCAAAGAAACCAAATCCATTAATAAGTACTGCAAGCACAGCCTGAAATTGACATGAGCCGCTACTGTTTTGTATGTTTAAAACACAACACCTACCGTTTTCATATTTCCGCCAGCCTCTTTTGCATTTATTCAACATCTCTTGTCAAACAGTCTCTGTCCTGTTTCCGGGGGCGGAGAGAGGGGAGAGAAAGCTGTCCTAATTATCAAAACAGAAAAATCCAGAGCAGTTCCATGGGTACTGTTTTTGTTGTTGTTTAGTCATTTAGTCGTGTCTGACTCTTTGTGACCCCATGGACCAGAGCAAGCCAGACCCTCCTGTCTTCCACTGCCTCCCAGATTTTTGGTCAAATTCATGTTGGTCGCTTCGATGACATTGTCCAACCATCTCGTCCTCTGTCATCCCCTTCTCCTCTTGCCTTCACATTTTCCCAACATTAAGGTCTTTTCCAGGGAGTCTTCTCATGAGATGGCCAAAGTATTGGAGCCTCAGCTTCAGGATCTGTCCTTCCAGTGAGCACCCAGGGTTGATTTCCTTTAGAATTGATAGGTTTCTTTTCTTTGTAGTACAGGCGGCTCTCAAGAGCCTCCTCCAGCACCCCAAAATCAAAGGCAGCCATTCTTTGGTGGTCGCCCTTCTTTATGGTCCAGCTCTCCCTTCCATACATTGCTACTGGGAAAAACCATAGCTTCGACTACGCGGACCTTTGTTGGCATTCTGTTTTGTAAGAATGCCCAAATACCTAAAAAGCTGACCAGATCCGTAGAGCATGAGAAATATCTCACCAATCTGAACGTCCTGTAACATCAGCTGAGGACTCAAATTTGCCGACCTCGGAAGGAAGGAAGGCTGAGTCAACCTTGAGCCGGCTAACTGAGCCCATGACGATCAAACTCTGCTCACGAGCAGAGTCTTGTCTGCAGTGCTGCAGTTTAACCACTGCTCCACGAGGCTTTGGAAGTAATCGCGTTTAAGATATTTCTATAAACCGTAAATCTGCACTGCTCAGAACAGTACCTCAAGGAAGTCCCGACTTGGTCCAATTACACTCCAAAACCCACCGATGCATTTCCCATCCCGTCCCTTAACACTGGAGTAGGAAGTTCCTGGCTCAGTAAAACGGTTCTTTATGGAGATGATCTTGTTTCATACCTTCAGTTTTCTGTTGTAAAATTTAAAAAAGGGAGGAGGCTGTGTGGGAACCACTGCTGGGGGACCTGCCTCAGCCGCAGTTGTAAACGTAGGGAGAGAGAGGGCAGGGATAAAGGCAGAGAGGAATGTGTGCTGGAAGACCAGGAGAAATGGATTTTTTTTTACGTTCTGCTGTGCGAGCGCTCGGTAACACACCATCCTGGGACCATTAAACCCTTGGGAGTGGAACAGCCACAAGGATTTCAGCTTCTCCCTGTTTTGAACGGGGGTAAATCGACAAAATAAATGATAGCCCAATTTTTCTTCACTGTCTCAGGGTTCTCAGATGTAACTCCTTCCCAAACTGCAAGAGGAAACTCAGAAAGCAGGATAGATCCTCTGGTGTTTTCCCCGCATTTCACTTGCCCCCCACCCCTTGGCTTGTTGAAGGGTTACGGTTGTTAAATCTGTGTTTTCCCGCTGTACCTCCCACAGCCACTTAGCTTCCTCTGAGTTTGGGGACGATATGCTGTTTATACAGTATTTTGAAGTAGATCCAGTAAATTCAAATTTTGGTGGAAAAAGCTCTCTACCCATCTACCCTGGTACGAAGAGGATAAAGCTAACATTCTAAAATCACGTCATTGCTCGCATGCACGCACACAACTCCTAGGTTTTTGCTTCCCATGAGCTTCTTCCTTGAATTCACTCAGGACCTGGCTGGGTAGCTCAGTGATTTAAGGTCTCTGGCTGCAGAGCCAGAGGTTCAGAGTTCGATTCTTCCCCACCCCGTGCATCCTTGAAGAGAAAGAACCAGCCTGGGTGGCCTTGGGCCAGCTGCACAGTCCCAGGGAAACCCCCAAAAGAAGGACATAGTAAACGACTTCTGAGTATTCTCTACCTGGTAAAGTCTGAAAAATGTTTGCCATAAGTCTGAATTTGCAGTGGTGCCTCACTTGACGATGTTAATTTGTTCCAGCAAAATCGCTGTAGAATGAAAACGTCAAACGAAACGAAAAAACCCACTGAAACACATTGAAAGCCGTTCAATCCGTTCCAATGGGCTGAATACCCGCTCGTCCAGTGAAGATCCTCTATATGGCAGCCAGGAATCCGTCCTAGAAAACAGCGGGGGGCCATTTTCTTCAGCCAGCGGCCATTTTGAAACCCGATGATCAGCTGTCTGCTGATCATCGTAAAGAGAAAATCGGTTCCCGAAGCAGGGAACCAATCATCACTAAGCAAAATTCCCCCATTTAAACCATCGTTTTGCAATCGCAAAAACGTCAATGTAATGCGAATTTGTTGTAGAACGTGGTAATCGTCCAGCGGGGCACGACTATACTTGATGGCACGTGATTATCTTGGAATTGCATGCAGAGCTGGAAGGAACCTTCTGGATCACGGAGTCCAGCTTCTATCAAGGATGCCCAGCGGAGAATTGAACTCGCAACTTCTGGCTCCGCAGTCAGAGTCTTAAACCATGGACCTATTATAATAAAGGGAGGTGAAACGGCTGGGGTCAAACTTAGATCACCTGTTCAAGGTGGGAGAAAGTCCAAAAAAAGAGGAGGAAAAATGGAAAGGAAAACGGAACCGATTGAGTTAATTTTCAGGTATGCAGAACAAGGTTCGAAACCCGTCATTCTAAATTTGGTTATTACCTGAGACACAATTTTTGCTTGAGATTTTCCCGGGATCGACTCCTGTCTTGTTAAGCCAGAGGGTGGGGTTGGGGGGGAGAAATTAGTTTGGTTGCTGCCACCACCCCCCCAAAACTGGGCATGGGATCCATGAAAAGAGACCAGCTTTTGGTAATTTGTATGAGATCTTCAATGGGGCCAGGCCTCCCTGAATGAAAGCCATTTTCCTGGCATGTGTGGGGCTGGGGCAACGGGCAGGCCCTCAAACATTGCCCGCCCCCCCTTCCAGGGAATGGGTTTTCTGAATATCAACTTTTTTTTAAAAAAAAAAAAGGAATTTGAAATTTGGAGAGTATATAGGCGTGTTTGGGGATTATTCTTCTAACTACGGCAACATAGAGAATCAGCAATGACGCCCCAGTATTCTCGTCCATCGTCGCCTACCTAAAAGCCTTTTTACCTGGAAATTTATTTATTTATTTACTGTTTATATATTGTCTCTTCTCCAGCCGGCATGAAGAGGGCTCCTCTCCAAGTATTGTCTATTGCTCTCTCCCAAATCTCTTGCTCTTCCCATAAACTGTGTGAGGTACATAGATCAGGCTGAGAAAGGATGTCTCTCGTCTAAGGTCACTTAGGTACTCCATTTTGTAGCTCAATGAGATATTCAACCCACGTCTCCAGAGTCTTAGCCCGTCACCCCAACCGCTGACTCAACCTGAGGCGTTCTGCCTCCAGCTGACAATCTCCAGACAGGTTTGACTAGAGTTCCCATCGTGCTGAAGGAAGGAAGAGGGACGCACGAGGGTTCCCCCAAAAAATCAGATGCTGAAAAGCATGGAGATTGTAAATACTGTAGGATCCCCCGTATCCAAGGGAGATCAGGTCCAAGCCTCCCCCCCCCCACAAACACACACTCGGATGCTGAAAAA